GCTCGTTGCCTTACCAGTTTCGATCGGGAACATACACCATGGTAGAGGGGGCGCTCACCGATCGGTACGGAATTCACTCGTTCTGTTTGTGTACAGAGACTAACTCTCAAGCCCTACCAGCATCCGCTCAACGGCTAGCGTGTATTATAGGCACAACGAGTGAGTTCCGAAACTCACGGTGTATACTTGGACACCGCAGTCGGCCTAGTGTGTGTATGTTGTTGTGTGGAGTGGCTAGCTGCGGGCTGGGGGTCAGGCTCAATGGCTCCTTCTTACTGTGGCCTTTAGGGGGCTCCCAGGCGGGAACCTACCTAGCGAGGTGTGCTGTTGCTACGCGTGTTGAGCGTCGGTCGCGCCTGCGCCCTCCCCATCTCCGGTCTTATTGACTTTTGTCTTGGCACCGGGTCACGGTGTGGGAGTGGTGAGAGAGTGGGTTAGATTTTTCGCAAGTCACCGCGCAGGAGTCACCATGTTGCTTCTGTCTGCTGAGACTCGTGGTGGATATCGTCGAGAGCGACGGTCAAACTCTCGTTATATTTCCGATCGAAACCGGCAGAGCGACAGGGCACATGTTAAAACATGTTTTCAGTAGTGTTCGTCCTCGCATACACGCGAGTCGTCTGAAAGGAGGTGGTGGGTGTGATAAGAGACAGCTGGTTAAGCGACAGGGAGGGCTTGATGGAGCTGTTTCGGGGGGGGGAGAGAATGCATGCAGTTAAGCGACTGCTGGGCGTGGATATTGTCGGAGGTTCATTAGTGTGCACAAGGCCGGCTTCCTTAAGCTGATCACAGTCGCTTCTGCTGTTGCTAGCGAACGCTAGCTCAGGGGCCTAGAGTAGTTTGCTGGGACCTTATAAATCCCCCGGAAGGCTTCGTTGAGGTGCGCAGGATGTCCGAAATCAACAATATGCGCGGGAATACCGCCCCTACTTCGGCTTTTCTCAGTCACGTTGGGCGGTGTTCCCTTATTCTCCTGGATAAGCACCGACTCATGTGGCTAGTATAACCTGTTCTACAAGAGCAAGTAAACAAGTAGATGCAGCTGGAAATTACCTGAGGTGGAAACCCATCCTTGCCTTCTCCGTGCAAAACTATGTTAGTGCAGAATAATATCCGAATTCTTGCTGTTGGGTAGGTTCGTAAAACGACTTGGTCAGGAGTTCACTTGCCTTGGAAGGGGACTTAAATGGTTCCTATGTGAATGAACCTGTGCTTAATCCAAACGCACTTTACAACGCAATTAAAAACCATTTCCCTATTCCCCTCGGATTAGCCTAAAACTCCAGTAAGGTAAATCGATATGCGTGCATTGTGGGAAGTTAATTTAGCACTGCGACAAACTGTGCTAGACGTGACTGTTAAACTCACTGTAGACCAACCAGGACCGCACCGTGATACACGATTGTTCGACCGCCCATTTCGATGATATCCACTACAAGCTTCAACGATTTAAGCAACGCGGTGACTTCCGCGAGATAAACAGCGAAGAAGACTGGACTTTCTCACCATGATACACATGGACGCCTTTTTAGACAGGGTCTAGTCCGAGGTAATTCAGATCAGCGTAATCAAACCATCGCGGTACACGCTGGTGGCCTTGTCTTTGAAGTATACCGACCGACTAGAAATGTCCGAGAGCAAGAGAGAGAGAGAGAGCGGAACCCTTGATGTGACTAATGGCGACTCTTGTGGATGCTAGCGTGTGAAGTTTGTGCCAGTTGTGAGTGTTTGTGTTTGTGTGTGAAAATAAACGTGCCATTGCACGCGTAAACAGACAAATGATCTGCAGTCGGCTACTGTGCCCGATGTCCGATTCTGTTTAGTCGTGGCGCTAGAAGACGGAGTGATAAAAAAGTTCTTCACTGGCCTTTTTTACACCAGAAATGTACACCCGAAACGCATTACATGTAATCTTCTTCCGAAGATTATTCATATAAAGTAGTAGGGGTACAGCAGACGTGTCATCCAATGAGCGGTTCTCTAAAAATTCGGAAATATTTTCAATTTTAAAAGGTTCCGCATGTAGTGCTCCAATCTTGCTTATCCTGTAGATATTTCGGTCAAGGCAAGATGACGTAAAAGCTACACTGTCAAAAATTGCTACTGCTTTAGTAGCATATATTTTCCAATCGATTTTTCGTATCTTATAAATTCAAATGTATTTTTTTTAAAATATGCCCAAAAGTATTCTATCTTGTAGTCATTTGCTAACAAAGTACGTCTTAAAAATTGATTCTGGAGGAAAGGACATCTTTTGGTTTTAGACAAAAGCCTTCAGTTGCAGAATTCAGTTTTAGACTTGACCATTCATGATTATTAATCTACAAGCTCTATATCTTGCCTGTCAGGGAATTCGTACATTTCTACATTTCTATTTTATCAAGATAACGTAATATAGGGCTCATTAAATTTTGCACAACTGTATGCTACACTTATAAATGGACACATTCGCTGTTTTAACAATGAAAATATCACGGTCCTAAATAATCTCCTATTTATGTCTTGCGAATATGCCCATTTTTAACTTCAAAAGTCAGCTTGGCAAGCATGCATTTTCAGTAATTCGTCATCGGACTTATAAATGCCTTATGATTAAAACTCATTGTCCTCACATTGCCCATATGGCGAGGTCGGTGGAGTGGAATAGCGGGAGGAGGGGAAATATGGTAGACTGTAAGTAATGTCCACCAATCGAGTACAGAATGAACATC